TGCAACATATTTATTGGATCCATGAAAGTGTTCGTTGCACAGAATAAAGCTCATATTCATCCAACAGAATACTTGGAGAAATTTCGCTGCTCTGGTAAGCCATCTTGCATCAGCGCGAAGATCAGACCAACTTCAAGGTTTAAAAACTTTCAGGGGCATTTCACATCTTTGGCTACTTCATGGTGATTGAATGAGTTCTCGTTTTGGTAAGATTCATATATGTTGAGGATAAAAGCAGAGGAGTGCTTTCGGCATAAGGAAATCCAATTTTGGAGAGAGCCACGATTTTGTTACAATATCTCTTCAATCGTGGTCCTATTTGAATTTTCGACAATTTTTTGATATTTTAAGCTGATAATCAGCCGCCAGAATCTTTCAAACAAATTTCTTTTCCATGCACAAGTACGAACCCTGAGTATAAACAGAGCACTCTGAGATTATACTGTTTATGCTTGTTTGTCTTCACGGTAATCCTAAAAGCACATCCCATGTAGGTTGAAGTTGGGTGCGTAAACTGAAAAATTCTTGAGGATATATAATAGAACGATTGTTACAAAAAGATGATATCAATACCTGTACGAACGAAGGAATATGCTCTATAAAAAACGTCATTGCCTTCTTCATCTCGTCCATCCATTTCGTGAGATCAGTAAAATTACTGAACGAAAACCGAACGAATGTTGTGCAAAAATATGGAACCCAGTGGAATCGTCACCTCTCAAAGCGGTTGGAGGCATAGCCAGGAACAACTTCGTGGAAGTTTCTTTCGAGCACTCGTTCAGCAGATCGCTCCAAATGACAATTGTACACCTGAATGACGTTTTTTCATTAAACGGTGAATATCAGTATAAAACTTATGCAAATCATATCGAAATATTAGGTTGTCCCATAAGTATTGTCGTTTTTTCAGCGAATTTTCTTTTGAACCTCCAATTTTCAAAAGAAACCATTCGCAGTTCAAGAGAATTATCTGCTCTACAAGATCCTACTATGCAAGTTTCAGTCTTTGGAAGATTATAGCTTTCTCTAATTCCTTCTGATTTTGAAAATCTAAGCAAACGAAAAGAAAGGCAGTTCCCCTTTTAGGTGCTACAGTAGCTGTACGGGTGTCCTAGTGCGCAAGAAATGTTGCTCGAGAGTTTATCGAGAAATTTCCGAGCCCATCATAAACGTCAACCCTCGTCGATGCAAGAAACTTCTTTCGAAATCCTCATATTGCCTCTAGGATACATCCTTGCGATGGAGTTAATAGGAAATGATATCTTGGCGCAGATCCATTCCGTTCTGTATGCGCCATGCAGTGACCCCACTCGGAGTCATTTGAAAGGTGTTTTGTCTATACGACAACTTGCTTCGTGCAAACCAAAAGGTGTTTCTAGTTCGTTTAATTAGAAATAACTCTTATGTCATAGTATAGTCTGATCACTCCTTCATTTACGTCGCTTCCTTTCCAACCCTTTTCGATGAATGACGCTATTGTGACAGCAGTATGTGATGATGTCAAAAAGGATCCGAACCGTCTCTTTTGAGCTTTTTGCAGACATCCTCCTCTGCACTAGGTTTTCAAAGCGTGTACTTACTTCTGAGTGCGAATATGTTGTCTCTAATGATAGGTACGTTTGGATTAATGACGGTCCTGTCTGCAAGACGCGTTTCTTTCCTATGTCATCGTATTGACCACTGCTAGCCAAGACAACAAACAACACCCAAGTGATTTTCATTTTAGCCGTTCTGTGATGCCATTTGCTTCAGATCAACTCAAAAACTTGTAAAAGCGCCGGTACCGCTGTGTCCGTTGCTGAACCTTGCGCTTGCGACCCCTATCTTCGAAGCCCTTACGACTCCCTATCGAGCACTCCCGCGACGGGATTCATCCTCATGAGAACTCTCACTATATAATCTGCCCAACAGTTTGTGTGGTGTGTGTTTCTTCAATAGAAATGGAAAAAAATTCCTGCAGAAGATCATTTTCTGGCAACTCGAAGAAAGCCGAGCGTGCTGCCGGGATTTCTACCTGACCTTGTAAATCATTCCTAAGTCTCTGAAGCTTATGCAAAAGCGGATAGAGGTTGAAGAAAGAAAAGTGCTCAATCGCCATGGGTGGGTAACGTATTCATGGAACAGGGCTGGAATCCAAAATTCGAAAAACTACCATTCACCAGGATAAAAGAGAAAATGGCATAGAAAGAGGATCCAGACCCTTACAGCGGACGAAATGCGCATCGAAGAGGGCCTGGGCAAAGTGGAGTTTCAAGACGTTCTGTCTCATATCGCTGGAATCTCGTGTGACGCATTTGTTAGTATGTTGAGCCACAACAGTGTAATACTCGTAGTATGTACGACACAAACCTTCACGTAGGATACCTCGTCAACTCAACATATTCGTCAAAGCAGCGATTACGATAAGCAGGAAGCGTATCGGGAAAGAATTTTCCCGACGAAAGGTGCGCTGGTTGCTGAGCAGGACTTCGAAAGCATTCCGCTCCCAAAGTGATCCGCCTACTACTTTAGTTGGTGATTTGGACAAGCTGCGTTGCAAGCTGCATCACAACTGGAGCAACTCTACTATTATCATTCAAAGC